TATATTTTTGGCAAAATAATTGTATCATCAGAAGAACATCAATTTTCTCATATAGCACATAATGATTGAACATCACAGTAGTGAAAATGAACACAAAAAGAAGCACTTGTTCAGATTTAAGGATGTTATGACAGCTTACCGTCCAGGTAATGATTCTGCCTGATAGCTCTTTTCAGCCACACAGGATAATTCCCAGAATTGTTTTATCTTTCTTCTTTAGCCTTTCTTCCTTCTTAGCTAGCAGTGAGGTATTTCTGACATCACAAGTTGTTTATGTGATGTCATGCATTATGAAGTCAGTGTCTCTAGATTGTTCTAGTGGGGGGGTCAAAGAGGAGGAAATGATTGGCTGAACTGATCTTAGATGTCTTTCTATTGAAGAACAGATAAACCATGTGTACTTCAAAAACTTGATTGCAACATGGATCCAGACAGAAGGAGATTAGACACAAGATCTTAGGCTTAAGAAGCATTGTACCTTAAGCAGTCATTTAAAGGCTAAGCAGTGTGATCAGTCCTTGTTCCAGTTAATTGCCCAGCTAAAGGGAAAACAAGTGATGTGGGAAGATGGTGAGATAGACATAACCTCTGCATATAGTGCTTTAGAGATGGTAGAAGGACAAATAGGTGATGCCCCCAGAGTTGTGCTTGACCGCAGATTTTTTCTTGGAAAGGGAATTATCTGTTTAAGTTATGATTTATTGTTTATTACTGTTGTGGTTTTATTGTTTTTTTGTTTTGTTTTTTTAATTGATTGTACTATTGTACATTTTGTACATTTTATCTTTGTACTCCTGCCTCGATCTGTAGGGAGTGGCAGGAAATATAAATAAATAAATGATGATGATGATGATGATGATGATACTACTGATATTGGGTTGCCTTCCACATTTAAAGAATGACAGCTTGTTTTAAGCATAGTGTCCTCTGAAAAATCTAGATAATCATATAGAAGAGTCCCTAAAATCTGCTCATTCAAGACTTTCCTTGCCTGAGGGTGCTTTTTTCATGATTATAATGAGACTGATTACCTTATTTTCTGGCGTATAAGACTACTTTTTAACCTGCAAAA